GAGAGAGGGAGAGAGAGGGAGACGGTAGCTTACTTTGGAGCGTGCACAGAGCTTTCTTGATCTTCTTGGAGCAGGTGCAGCAGTGCAGGTCCACCGTGATAAGTACCGTGGCGATCTGTTGTGTCAAGGCGAGCAAGAAAAGCACAAGCAAACAGACATGAATCAGTTTTGGCTTCCATGAACAAAAGTTTCAGCCTTCTTTTTCTTGCACGGTGGAGCGTTTGACTCGGTAGAAAAGTCAATGAATGTCGAAGAACATCATGTTGAATCCAAAGTCCAAGAAAATCTAAACCAAGCAGAGAAATTTTATCTAAAAGAAGAAGGGTCAAATCCACAAGACCGATCTGTTTTTGGTCATCCGGATTGCATGATGTGAGTTATCCAATTAATAAAGAACACGTCAAAGAAAAACACAGCATGAAGTTGACCAACACATAAAGATCCATGGCTGACAATAAATTCATCTTTATCCAGACAATTAGCTCACCATAGTGAAGACAGATTTCTAAGAGAGAGAGAGAGAGAGAGAGAGAGAGATGAACACCTCTGCCATCTCTCGAAAGTTAAGACCCCAAGCTGGTTGAGAAGCGGATAACCAAAGGCTCCCTCTATATAGGCAGTCGACGAGTCACCAATACAATGACTGATCATTAATTGTGTACTAAGGCCGGTAGCACTCAATCATTATATAGATTTTTATTTTATTTTTTTATTTTTAAAAGGGTTACAACATATATTAATTTTTTTCTGATAGATTAAGCTGTTGGAATTGGATAAATAATTACTCAATTCAATTCTTAAAATAATTATATTATTTTATGATATTTTCAAGAAAAGAAATTTATATTCTCGATAAGGAAAAGGAGAACGACGGGTCTCCAACCGGTATTATGGCGTTATCACATCTCAAGTCGATGACGAAAGTAATCAGGTGACACAACCATTCTTTTTGTTCATCTTTGACGTATTCTGCATCCACCATTTTCTACTGTATTTACTTTCTCGGTGTCCTCTTTTTCTCTGCCCACACTTTCCAAATTTGTCATGTCAGTTTGTTCTCCATCGATCCTCATTTCCTTCACCATCAATCACTTCTTTATCTTTCTTTCTTCTTTTTGTCTCCATTTTCTTTTACTTCACCTTTCTTCATTTCGTCTCCATCTTCTACTTCACCTTCCTTCTACCCATCTCCACCTTCCCTTTATTTCATCCCCATCTACTTCCCCTTCCTTCTTTTTATCTCCATCATCTTCTATTTCACCTTCCTTTTTTTCCTCCCCCTCCTCTTTGATTTCGCCTTCCTTCTCTTCCTCGCCATCCTCTTCTGCTTCACCTTCCTTCTTTTCTTCACCACCCTCTTCTAAAACATGGTCATCTTCGGTCACATCCTTCTTGCCTTTGCTTTTCTCCTGTCCATCGGTGTCCATTTCTTTGGTTTGCTTCTTCCCGTCTACATCCATTCGTTCTTCCCTTGCACTGTCCGCATGTAGCTGTGCCTTCTTCAGTCATTTCAACTGCATTGAAAGCTATATTATATATTAGCTACCAGATAGTGAGTGGACGCCGGAAATAATGCAAACAGGACTTTGCCAGCGACCAATCGGCGCATTTATAGCTACAGATCACTGAAGCTACTAACAATAGATAAATGCAAATTACCACACAAAAAAAACAATGGCAAAATATATTAATTTGCACAAATTGTAAAAGGAAACAAAATCAAAACAAGGAATGGTATGAGAATTCAACATCAAAGGCCAAAATCAACAAGAGCAAAAACAGGAGCAACACGAGTCGTAAAAACCCTACTTCCGTCTCTAGCAAGAAAGCGTCTGTCAAACGTCGCACCAATGTGAAGCACCAAATACATACCTATTAGTCGGTGGGATAGATCCTGAACCCAACAAAAAGGTAAATGTAACCCCGCCAAAGAGCACAGGAGTATGTTCTTCATAACCCCAGAAACACACACCCCATAAAGCAGGCAACTTTACGGCATCGAGCATCCGATACCAGGTTCTACGATCACCAACACTCGGAATTACCTTCTAAATCGATCCAAAACTTTCGAAACAAGTTTCCAGAACCATTAAGAATCACGAAATAGCAAGAAGGCGAACATCCATGGGCAATTCACGGAACCCTAGCTGGATCGAGCCAATTTTATCTCGTTCGGAAGAGGCATCCCAAGTATGGTACGAAATTTAAGCCACGACGAGATTGGTGTCGACGAAGAGACGTACCTGATAGAGATCGCAGCGCTTCGAGCGATCGAAACATGCCAAATAAAGAGAAGAGGACGAAAACCCCTTCGCGTAATCGGAAAGGTCACCTTTTCTGCCCTCTTCCCCGCCCGGCTTAATAGTTCGGATCACCGGGGTTCTGATCACCTGTTCCATCCAACTCAGAATACAGTGTACTCTCCATGCAAAGGCATGGGTACCCACCAGTTCGAGACGAACGCAGCACCCTCGATCAGTGTTTCCTGTTTTGCAGTATACAGGCAGTGTCCTGACAGGACAGTTCAATGTGGTTTCGCGGCCGTGGTCATTGGCCGATTACCTCCGCCTTGAAATGACGTGGATCCTCTCCAAGACGCACCTTTAAAAGGAAAACGTTCAAGTCCCCTTATCATGTGGCGATCCACTGAGACTGGCCCCAACTTTTCATATGTGGGGCCCCCTGTGTATGGTTACAGGCATTGGCATTGGAGGGGATCCCTGGGTGTCCTCGGAAGAACCCAATGGTGCCGCCATCCCAGAGTACTTCCACATGGCATGGCAAGGAGATTCCCTTGTCCCAATGTGTTTGTACCCGTTTCTGGCCCTTTGCGGAAGATACCTGCATCCTAATTGGCGGCAGGCATGCAGGGCGCTTGGGTCCACCTCTCCATAAGAGGGGCAAACGTGTCACCTTATAGTTCAGTAGAATGTTCCAAGTACAACTTATAGTTCTCCTTTATGACTATTCTAATATAATTCTGACTTCTTGTGCAGGTAAATCCTTACAAAACACTTTTGATGATTAAAGCATATATTGGGTTATTTCCTAACAACTTCAGCTTTTAGAATATGTGATATTTGGATATCAGAGCAAATCATGAGTTAGAATACATGATGGATGGATGTTGGTGATGTTTAGATCAACCTGACTTGATTCAAGTTGTAGAAGAAATCTACTGTGATTGGAGAGTAGGTTCGAATATTTGCTTGATAGTTAAGGAAGCACGAACTCTTATTCCACCCATATGATAAACGTGACTGGATGAATTTTTCGATGCGATCTCTTCGACACCTAAGTTAATGACGAACAAGAGATTTTTAGTAAAACAATGATTGACCTTAATAACTATGACCAGATAAATTACTGTATTCTGCATGATAGGATAGGACCACAATTTATGTTTGTCCACTCGAGTTTTATTTGATTCATTAACTTTATCCCCATTCAATGTTTCGTATGG